GAATCGGAGTTAAGGGCGGCAATACCACAGGACTTATGGTTCCGGGAACATCGTAACCTGTTCACTCAGAGGGATGGATTGGTGTGGTTCGGAGTGAAATTATACGTACCACTTGTGTTACGGTCTAGGGTTCTTCAGAGGTGTCATGACGCAAAATTGGCGGGACATTTCGGGTTCGTCAAAACGTTACACCTGGCTAGGCGCCAATTTTGGTGGCCTATGTTACGAAAGGATGTCGAACACTATATAAAAGCATGTTCTGTATGTGCTACGTGCAAATGCCGGCCAGGAAGGCCGGTGGGGTATTTACAGCCAGTGGCTGACCCGGAACATCCATGGCAGGACATTGCCATGGATTTCATTGTGGAACTGCCAAAGAGTAAGGGATATACCGTAATTTGGACGGTAATCGATTTATTCTCAAAACAGGCCCATTTTGTCCCGTGTAGGAAGTTACCAACTGCTCAGAAATTGGCCCACATGTTTCTGACACATATATACCGGATCCACGGAGCCCCCCGACGAATAATATCTGACCGGGGGGTTCAATTTACGGCGCGATTCTGGAAAGGCTTCACAGCATTGCTAGGGTCATCGCAGGGGCTTAGCACTGCATACCATCCTGCCACTAATGGGGCCGCTGAACGAGCTAATGCAGCAGTCGAACGGTATTTGAGGAGTTATGTGTCATACCAGCAAGGTAACTGGGCAGACCTGCTGGTGTTTGCGGAAGTGGCGTATAATAACGCGATGCACGCCAGTACAGGGTTTGCACCATTTAAGGTGGTTTCGGGGAAGGATTTTGTTCCCATACCTGAATGCTGGAATCTGGAGGCGCAGCCATATCTTCCACAGGAGTGGGCCCAAAGGGTATCTGGAGCATGGGCGGCTGTAAAAACGGCGTTGGTAGAATATGGGCGAAAGATGAAGAAGCAGGCGGACAAAAAACGGCAGCCCTGTGAGCCGTTCATTGTGGGCCAACTAGTTTATCTGTCCACCAAATATCTGAAATTGAAAATCCCGTGCAAAAAATTAGGACCCAAATACATTGGCCCGTTTAAAATTGTAAAAATCATTAATCCGGTTACGGTACAATTACAGTTACCCCGGTTGTTGGGAAAAGTGCATCCGGTGTTTCATTGCAGTTTAATAAAACCGGTCTATATGTACAACAAAGGAACTGAACCAGGCCCTGTCGTTGATGGCGACTATGAAGTCCAAGAAATACTCGACTCCCGTGTTAGGCAAAGTAAATTACAGTATTTGATTAGGTGGAAGGGTTACCCTCTATCTGACTCTACGTGGGTACGGGCAGATGATGTAAGGGCCCCTCGGCTGATTAAACAATTCCATGATCAAAACCCTAGGAAACCAAACCCCGGTAGTGTAGCGGGGGTCGGGAAAGTGGATGCGAGGGGATCGATGTAACGTATCTTCTCTTTTCCTCAGGGGGAGCCTTGGTAAAGGGGGGCAGTATGTTGGGCCGTAGCGGAGATCGTCCGGACTACCTCCTCCGACGAACCCTCAATACACTGGACGGCGATCCGGAAGGCCCGACATTCAGCTGGGGGCCGCGCACGCGCAAGAATTGCTCCGACGGCCAGCTGACTCTGCCGGAGCCGCACAGGCGCAAACGGCGCCCCGGCAAGCACAACGCATGCGCAGATGCTATAATTATTGAATTTTACGCAAGCACCATATGTGGACATTAGGCTGAGGCTGTCTTCATTAATAGAACCAGCTGGGCTGCCGAAGCGTCAGGAGGCCGCCGAAGCGTCGGGAAGCGTCAGGAGGGCAGCTGCAGGTCTGCATAATCTGGATGGATGGCCATGTAGGGGGTGTTGGGCGGTCTGGAAGAGGGTGGTGGTGCATGGGCGGTAGTATGGGTGTGGGTTAGGCGGGGTCTTTGTAAACTGTATAAAAGAACCATGACTGCAATGGTTGTCAGTGCTGACTTTAATTCATTACTTTACTGAAATAAATTGGAAGTTCTTCGTTCCTGACGTGGTGATTTGGACTCAGTTGATTGTGTGTCAAGACGAGGCAACACCATCATGGTATGTGATTGTTCTAGTTGTATGCCCTGTCTCCTACTTGCTTTTGCATCTACAATAGTATCCATGATTCAGTTACTATAGATAGAGTAACATCTTATCCCACGCCTTCTTGCAAGTCAACCTCTTATGGTACTTCTTAAATCATGATCTCCAATCTTAGTAGAATCTATACTGGATTCCCTTTTCGTATGTGAGATCTCACTATCACAGAATCAGTTCCTTGTTGGTTGGTTTGCTTTTTTGTTAGAGTTATATCCAATATTTCCACAAGAAACAAGGGTCATGCATATCAGTCTCCTTCAATTTTCTTCCCATAATAATAACATAATAACAATTTTGTGAAGCAAGTTGACTTAAGAGAGTGGGCCCAAAGTTGTTCACTGCATTTAAATCAGTGGTTCTCAACCTTTCTAATGCCGCAACCCCATAATGCAGTTCCCCATGTTGTGGTGACCCCCAACCACTTATACATCACCAGGTGCCAGGGGTGTGGCCAAAGAAAAGGGGAAAAAAATGGCAGACAGCCTTGTTTGGCGACCCCCATGAAATGGTCATTCGACCCCAAATGGGGTCCCGACCCACAGGTTGAGAACCACTGATTTACATGGTTGAGGAAGAACTTGATCCAACCCTAGTTCTTAATTTTAATCACTACCCTATACTACAATGACACTATAATTGCTACTTGATGTTCATAAAGAATAGGGTGTACAATATTCATTGTGGTTAAAACTTGTGCACAAACAACGTGGAGTGCTAGATAAATGCTATGCTGGCATTGAATTCTGGGGATTCTAGTTCAAAAATTCTGATAGGCATAAAGTGGAGAAAGCTGGATTTAGGTAGTAGTTAGTTTGGAAATTTTTGTTTTAAAATGTGATCAGCTAGATGGCAGCAATGCTGCATTTCCTGGTAGTTATACAACTTCATTGCCTTCAGGTTATTTCATTATTACTTCTCTCCAACCAGTTTTCTATTGAGAGAAAGCAAGAGACAAATAAGCAAGCATGAGAAACAGACCAGCAATTAAGAAAAACACTAGAAGACAGACAGACAGACAGACAGAAGACAGACAGACATAGAATGAAATAGATATGTGAGCAAGATAACAAAGATAAACTAGTGAGAGTGAAAAAGCAAAAGCAAACAAAAGAGATAGTCTGCAGGTTATCCATGGGATTAGTGGTTGCTTCTTGGTAAAGTAGAAGAGATTTGTTGGGAGGAATTTGTTACATAGGTTGGAGTAATGAAGATCACACCTTTTGTTTGGAGTAAAATCTTACTTTATTAAATGCACAGTGTTGGAGGCAAGCAACAACTCAACCTACCTAGTTGAAAATGAAACCTTCATATGCATACAGAGTCAAGTTGCAAGTTCATGATATATGAAGGAAAGTTGAGTGTTCTACAAAGGCTGATATAATTCATTTTACTTGCTTATCACTAATTCTTGCTTCTGTCCATTACTGCAGCTGGACTTGAGGGTTAGGGAAGGACAGCCTTGCTCAGGCTAATTATAATCAGGGCTTTCTTTTCTCATAGAACACCCAGAATGGAGTTCCGGCACCTTTTTTGGATGGAACCTTGTAGGGTAGGCAAAGCAGGTTGTATGACATGTGTGAGTTCCGGCACCTTTTTTTTTTTTTTTTTTTTTTTTTAGAAAAAAAGCACTGAAATATCTGATTTATCTAGAGTTCGGTAATAGATAATGGAGCTATTACCTAGTTAATTTGTTGGACTACTTTCTGGAGATATCTGTTTTTAAATTAAGGATATTAATGTAGAGAACCCCTTAGAGTAGGAAAATTATCTAAAAGTGCATTCCAGAAACTTGGTTGTGAAACCAACAAGAATCATTTTGATTAAATGCATATTAAATGCATATTCTTATGTGGTAAATCCTTATATTCTGATCCAGATCTGGAGTGAATTTAGAACACCTGATAAATTCATCCTGTGCCTGGAAGCCTGAAAGTGCCAACTGTTATATTTTGTTTCTTCAATATACATTCAAAGATTAAATACTTCTATATGGTGTGTTGCAGTTACAGTACTTATTTAGGTTCTGTGGAATAAGAATGCAATTAACTAAAATCTTCGTGTTCCATAAAATTGGAATGGAACTTTGGGGAGCATAATTATATTGTTCTGTGACAGAGCTGTTAAACACTGTAGTTTTATAGCATAATCTCTCCCAATACTATTTATTTTCAAATAAACAGAACACTTTTATTTAAGAGTTAGTTGCATTGAACTAAGATTTGGTTCTAAGTATATATATATGAGAATAGGTTTTTTGAATTGATTTGGCATGAACCTTTGTTACAAAATGATAATACTCTTTAAATCAACTCACATATTAGTTGAATGGCCTTTTTTGTCAAATGTGAAGTAAAAGCTGAACGATTAATTTAAAAATACTATGAAAGAATGAACTGCTCTATTAAACTATTGAGAAAGAAATAGTTTCAGAATCTGCATAAGAAAGTATAAGGAGATAAAGCCTGACTATAAGAAATCAAGTGACTTGCATATTTCCTATGCAAAATTATGAAAATATTCATACAATGGGGATTTTGAAAGTAAATTTGCTTTTCTTTCTCAGCAGCAATGTATCTTACCATTGAGCTGCTATCTATGTAGAGAGAAAAACACCTAATAGTATGTTTAAACTAAAAGAATTACTCCCATTCAATATTATTATTGCTTTGATTTGCATTGCTTTCTAAACAATTAACCAGTGGAACAGCTTATCCCCAGAAATCGTGAGCACTCCATCACCGGAGATTTTTAAGAAGAGGCTAGACAGTCACTTGTCTGAGATGGTATAGGTTCTCTTTCTTAAGCAGGGGGCTGGACTAGAAGACCTCCAAGGTCCCTTCCAGCTCTGCTCTATTCTATTCTATTCTATTCTATTCTATTCTATTCTATTCTATTCTATTCTATTCTATTCTAAAAAAAATAATAGACTGGTCATTACTAGCATTTGAGAGTAGAGTAGAACAGAGAGTAAAAATATTTGTACTGTACAACCTCCTTTCTTTTGGGTCTACTTTACATCAACCTTTCCCCAAACTGTATAGTTTCTTGAATTCCCCAGTCTGCAAGACCACTGCAAAGAATTTTGGATGCTAATGTCTACAGATTTGCAAGGTGCCCAAGTTGGCAACCAATGCTCCACTTTTTTTTTCCTGTCTTGAGAATATAATTAAATACGCACCTCCAAAAATTGCATCTTGCATTCCCCACTCCACTTTCATTACCACCTTGCAAATGAGCCTGAGGAGCAGCTTAATGAGTGCTTGTGTGAGTGAGGCAGAAGGAAAATCTATGTGACCGTAGAGGCTAAAACTTTTATAATTAAGGAAGGGGGGGGGAAATGCTGCAATTCTTAAAATCTTCAATATTTCACTCACATCTAAAGCCTGGAGAACGAGTTAATGAGTGGCTTTTTGGGCAGCATGAGCATTTGAAGTTCTGAAGGTTTTCTCCTAGTTTTTATGCAAGGAATCATACTTTCTTAGTATTAACTATGAGTGTTTTGTTGTGGAGAATTTTCCTGAAACCAATGTGTTCATTGCCTTGACATTCATGTGACATTCATTAACATCCATGTAACATTCATTGACATTCATGTGACATTCATTGACATATCATGTGACGTTCATGAATAATTAGGATTGTGGCTGCACCGTTTTAAAAACACTGGGTATACATTCTCTGTCAGAGTGCCCCATTATGAGTATGGGTCATTGGAGGGCAGGAATTGACAGCGTTTCTATGGGTCAAAGTGCCTACTATATTAATACATGAATTTAACATGTCTTATTTTTGCTATTTATGTAGGAATTAGAGGAAAGTATACCTGTTTCCCTGCCCTCAAGTTTTATATGGATGATTATGCGAGCTCTGGGAAATATGGCTCAACTGCAGAGAAGGAATATTTCATCACACAATTATCTATACATTTTGATATGGGCAAATATGGAATTGTGTGTCACAATATGAATGATAAGAAGATGGTAACTTCTGTCTAGCTACTAAGCATCTTCAGCACATAACAGATTGTATAACTCCTGTATCAGGAGCACACAGCTCAAAGAATTGTTTTAGCAGATCAATTTCTTTTTGCAAATCCACCTATTGTGAATAGAACACACAGCAGATGCCCATGTCCCATTGGAATGCATGATCCCACAGTTCTTGTTGACATCCTTGCTTGGCTCTCCTTGATTCCAAAAACTAAAAAAAAAACCAGAATATTTAATATTAACATACAATTGTCTATATTTTTATGAATTTGCTATATTTTTCCTGCATTCTACATTGAGATTATGACCTAGTATTTTTTCATCTTCATCTTAGCATGGTATTAATGACATATGGAATACAATATAAGTGGAATGTTCTGTACGGATGAGTTTGCTAATTATGTAGCTCATATAGCCAGAGTCCCTACAGTTCTGGGGAGGAGATGGGATATTCAGCAACTTAAAAGTATTTCCCACTGTTCTCTCAAGAATCAAGATGACAGAAGGGATACAAGGACAGGTACCTGGCATTTACAAATTTTGACCTGGCTTCCAAAATCAAGCAAAAATGGTCAACACATGGGAAATTTGCTGGACGTTGTGTATACAAACTTACTGAACCTCATCTAACTGAAAGATAGGGCTTGTTTTATTGGGGAAAGTGGATTTTATCAAGTATGGGAAACAATGTGGGCATCCTAGACAAAGTCAAAACCAAAAACACTAGGAAAATATTGGAAGCTTGGCATACAGACAAATCAGCCATCAACAAACGGATAGAAATAAAGACACAATATAAAGCTAAGAAGGAAACAAAAGGGGGCAAAACATATCCACTCCAGCAACCAACATCCACAAAAGCATGGATTAACACTGACAGACAAGAAGAAAATAATACCCTAATCAATCACATCCCCACCAGCACTGATACACATAAGTGTGCGTGCACACACACACACACACACACGCACACACAGATAAAGAACAAATCTCATTAACATTGGATGATGTTACCTAGATGGTTAATGAAATCTCTGCAAGCAAATAACCAAAGAGCACCAAGGACTTAGCAGTGTTTGTTCTACAGTCATTTTGCATTTCCTTTCTACTCTAGGATTTTTCAAATAGACTAAAGATGATATTCATTTGAACCAGAAGGTTCAAACTCATTAAAAGGAAACAGATATTCTGGTATTCCCTGGCCACATTTTGGTCTCAATCTTTCATCCTGATTTGTTATTTTGTCTTCACTGTTTCATGGTGGAACACATCTTTTGTGGGTCAAGAAGACTATATCAAGTAGCTATGTCATCTTGTTGTTGCTACCTGTAGGCATTTTGCCATCTTTGCTATTGTTTTGAATATTTCTAAAGGCACACTTATAATTCTGAGCACTTTTCACCAACCAGAATTCATTCTGAGCTTTAGCTTTCACACATACCATCTCTGCAGTTCCACATCACTCATAGTCTCCCTTCTATCTCCTTTATATATACTTTTTTAAAAAACTGTATAGCCCCAAGTTTCCTGTCCTACATTTTTTCCTCATACGGATTGTGTGCAATTATATTTTTAGATTCTTTTTTTTTTTAGAAGCTCCCACATATTTTTAGCTCCTTGGTTTTCTGAAACATGGGGCTTAAAAAAGAAAAAAAAAACCATCCAAAATATACTCACCTCGTTCCGACTAGCATACCACTATCTTTCCACTTCCACTGTCCTTCTAAATCACTCATACCCAACCAATAATTGTCAACTCTACTGAGGTAATTTTTCAGAAAACCCTGAAACAAAAAAGTATAGGGCAATCAGCTTGACATAAATATTTGGGAAAATTCTGGGGAAGATCATCAAGCATAGAATCTGTGAGCATCTAAAAATGAACAAGAAGATTATTAGAAGCGGGCACAGATTTGTCAAAAACAGATCATGTCAGATAAACCTTATATCCTTCTTTGATAAAGTAACTAAACTTGTGGATATAGTAAACATGGACTTCAGTAAGGCATTTGACACATTAACCACAGCTTGCTTCTTGACAAGATAGAAAAATATGGGATAGACAGCACCACCACCAGATGGGTTCACAGTTGGCTGACCAACCACACCCAGCATATAGGCCTTAATGGAACTGCATCAACATGGAGGGAAGTCAGCAGTGGGGTACTTCAAGGTTCTGTTTTGGGCTCAGTACTTTTCAATATCTTCATAAATGATCTAGACAAGGGGATAAAAAGGAACTCATCAGATTTGCAGATGACACCAAGCTGGGGGGAATCGCTAACATTTCGGAAAGACTTAAGACTCAGAAAGATCTTGACATACTTGAACATTGGAGTCTATCCAGCAAGATGCAGTTCAATGATAAGAAAAGTAAGGTCTGCACTTAGGCAGTAAAAATAGCTGCCCAAAGGGCAGTGCAATCCTGGACTGCATTAATAGAAGGATGACATCAAGATTGCAAGAAGTATAAAGAAGCTGCTTTATACTGCTAGAGGGGATTGCAGACTTAATCTCCAAAGCACCAGAGGCCAGGACAAAAAGTAATGGGTAGAAGTTTGTTAAAGAAAGATCTAACCTACCATGTTTCCCCAAAAATAAGAACCGGTCTTATTTTTATTTTATTTTTTTGCCTCCAAAAGAGGCACCAGGTCTTATTTTCGGGGTGTGTCTTTTCCACAGTCTCATCTCGCAATGGCACTGACAGCCCCACCCAGCTGGCCCATGCCTCTGCAGCTGAGAATGCAGTTCCAGCCTGCATTTCACCATCAGAGGCCTTCTGGAAAGGCCTCTGCAACTGAGAACCGAGCTATGGATTGAATCGTAGCTCGGTTCTCAGCTGCAGAGGCCTTTCCGGAAAAATGCAAAATGCAGGCTGGAGCTCCATTTTCTGCTGCAGAGGCATTTCTTTCAGCTGCAGAAGAAGTGGGCTGGCATGGCAAGGCAGATGTCGATTCATGGGAGACCTGACTGAAATGGTAAGTGAGTGCGGGGCACGTGGGGCAGCTTCACCCACCCCACCCCCACCCTAGCTTGATTTTTTGACATGCACCTCACCCCAAAACTAGGGCTTATATTAGGCCCACCCCCAAAAATCAAGCTAGGGCTTATTTTCAGGATAGATCTTACTTTCGGGAAAACACGGTAGAAGTAAGGAAAAAAATTCTAACAATGAGAACAATTAATGAATAGTTAACCCTGGGTTCTGGATGCTCCATCACTGGAGTTTTCAAAACAGACTAGACAACCATTTGACCGTGATAGTATAATCAGGGAGTTGGACTAGAAGGCTTCTGAAATCCCTTCCAGACCTCTGATTCAATGTTCTACATTCTATTATTCTATTGATCAAATAACACAAAAATCCTAAGATTACTAAAATAAAAGAGAACCTGAAACAGAATAAGGCCAGAAATAGAATAATATTAATGTAAAACTGGTAACAGCAATATGAAGAACTTTTCTTTAAAAAGCTTTCATTTTGTATTAAAATGATTACAAATAAGTGCCAAACACTCTTTGGCATGCCACCTTTGTGAAAGCCTACTAAGAATTCACCCAGACCATAAACATATGCTTCTCAAAATGAAAAGCAAGTATAGGTGTTCATATTGAATATATTTGGGAGGCAGCAAACAAACAATCCCAGAACATTTAACGTTTTAACAGTTAACATCAGTACTTGAACCAGGTCAGGAAATGGACTGGAGAGCAGTGCACATGGCAAAAATCAATACTATCATATTAGTCACAATTACCGTAACAATTTGCTAAAACTAGACTTACTGAAGTGTCTGGATTGTTTTCAAATGAGACAGTTTAAGGTAATCTGTAAGAGTATTCAATATAATTCAATATAATAATGCCTAATGAAAATTAGAAATGGTTCCATAGTTTAGACTCAAAAATATCTTCCCATTTTCATTGACCTTGTTACTGTCTGTAAGACTGAACAGACATTTCTGGCTGAAGAGAAAATCAAGGGTTTTTAAAGAAAATTAATTCTTGCTTTTAATTTTTTAAAATATTTCTGTTATATCCTTCAAATAAATAATACTATTCAGAAGTATCTATATCTGTATATCTGATGATAAGTGAGCTGCTGGAACAAATCATAGATGAATGAGAGAAGAGAACCTGGAAATGATGGAATGCTATTAAAGTAGCAGATATATGAAACATATGAGAGAAGAACAACAGGACGTGCAGCCAACAGCTGAAGCTGGAACATCACTACAACCCCCTCCATTACAGAGTCACAGAAGCTGGAAAAGTACCAGGGCTTGAAAGAATAACTAGAGAGGATGTGGAAAGTAAAAGCCAATGTGGTCCCAGTGCAGTGATGGGATTCAAATAGGTGAACAATGAGTTCTCTGTGTGGATGCTGCTTCTGGAAGTCCATTCTGGGCATGGGCAACAAAAAAATAGCTACCGATTCTGCCGAACTGGTGCGAACTGGCTGAATCCAACCACTGTCCCAGTGATAATAGGAATGTTTGGGGCTGTGACTCCTAAATTGGGAGAATGGCTCCAACAGAACCCAGAAACATCAGAGCTCTCTGCCAGAAAAGTTCAGTGTTAGGAGTTTCTAAAATATTTTTTATCTTGATTTCTTACCAGAATTATCTATATGGGAGGACTTACCTGTTCTTCATCAAATGAAATGCTAATCAGATATGCCTTATAATTAATACAATTCCACAAGGCGTTAGTCCAGTTTGTCTTTTCAGTTGAAAAGTAATAACAGTATTTCCCATGACGCTTCCAACTATTGGGGCATGAAGAAACAATTGTGATGTTTCCTTGGCTGCAGATGGATTCTACAAGGAAATATGACAGAAGCCTCTATTAGTCTTCAATGGTGTTTCGAAATTGCTGAGATCACATAGGCATATGAAATTAACAGTTTAAGTAAGCAGAGCACATACAGTACCGTGCAAAAGTCTTAAGCCACTACTCATTTTGTTGTTTTAGAAAAGTTTTAATAACCATCCATGATTATTTTTTGGTCCTGAATATCACATCTTAAATATCCAATTTGTTGATTTCCTTTTGAGAGTGGCCTTGCTGATGCAAAAATATGCTTTTACAGGATGTCTGTTAGATTCTGTGATCTCTGGTATTTTGATTGGAATGATGTAATTGAAAGTTGGTCTTATTAGCAAGCTTCCAATGAATAACACTCATACAACATGTGTGTGTGCTGTATGTAATGCTCAAGCATGTATTGCACAAACTTGTTGTAATAGAACTTTTTGCACAGCAGTCATTTTGGCATGAAATAGTAATAACAGTACTTAGGCTTCCATTCAATTTAGGTTTATAGGAGCCAGTTGTCTGCTGTTGCTCAAGTGCAAGGGATGATCACACTAAATACTTGTCACTGTAGTCCAGGGGTGTCGGATGCGTCACACCAAAACCGTGCCCACCCCATTGCCATCTCAGACGCATCATGTGACATTGCGAGTTTGACACCGTGCTGTAGTCTATGGAAGCTGTTTTTGTTCTGGTTTTGAATACTGCATACAAATTTCCTGCATTTTCTTGTTGTATTCTAATAAGGAGGCTAAGACAGAAACATCTTTTTACAGTTTTGAAATACATCATGGATAGCAACATATTGCCTGAAAGAACACCACCACCCTCAAAAAGGACCTACAAATAATGTATGAAAAGAGTAGTGCTAACCAGTTCTGCTCTCCGTATTCATAAAGGCCTTGTCTAGGCACCTTCGCTTCCTCTAAACATAAACTGAAATTAATGCTTACCTGATAAATTTCAGATGTTCAGAACACAATCTGGACAGAATCTGGTTCTTCCCCAATACAGTGTTAAACAGCAAGGGAAACTTTATGGCTGAAAATATGTTTGTTATATGCATTTTCCTTGCCTTCCTGCCCATTTCTAATATTCACATTTTCCAACCAGGATGATTCACTTCTCATTTAGAAGAATCCAGGTCTAGAACTTTTTTAGAGATGTCTTACCTAAAATGTCCTCAGTTTCAGTGAACCTGTTGCTTGTGTATTTTTCAGCCATCAATTGTGTTGTTTTAGCATAATCCAGATCTTTCATCACTAAAAGACAAATCAAAGTGCTAAGAGAGATGTCATGAAAATAGGTCTTCTATTGCCTAGCTCAGTTCCATGGTGGTCAAGAATTCCTGAGCGTCCTCCAACTTTGGGCTAAGCAAAAGCAGATTGAAATCCCCTATTATAAGCCTGGGAAACTCTGCCACCAGAATCAAGCACCTCTAGAAGGGAGGTTGCTCCATAGCAGAGAGTTGGATACACAAGTAGCCATTCCATCTGATTCCTATGGCCCAACTTCCCAAACAGAGTTCCAAATCCACTTATCTGTGAAACACAGACCTGGAAGCCTCCACAGTTTCCTGGATGGCAACGGCCATAGACCTACTTCTACCCCAGAGTCTTGGCTGATGTAATGGCTGAAAAGTGGCCACATTTCTGAAAGGGGAGCTCCCTTCTGTATCAAGCCAGATCTCAGTGAAATATGCCAAGTTGACACTGTCACCCATGATTATATTGTATCATGGATAAGAGTAGCCTTATTACAGACCTACTTGACATTCAACAGCAACCAGTGAAGACAGTGGCCACTGAAGCTATGAAGACCAGGCTTCAAGGAAAGAATAGATGTGGTCTTTAGCAGCTGGGGTCTATTAGCAACTTCACCCTAAAATTGCTATCTAATTGGATCCTTGGTGTCCTATGCCTATATGCATGGATATCACCAGATAGAAAACTCAGAAATCAAACTGACTATATTATTAATAAAAGAAAGTAGAATGACTTAATTATAATAACAGATATGTGGCTAGGCACTCCTGGGAACAGATCATGAACTGCTCTTGAGCAAGTTCCAATTCAAAGTAAAGCAAAGGAACAAAGCCAATCAGTTTCCCCTATATGATCTTGAGCATATTGCCATCATATCCTATCTAGGCGATCATCAGGAATCACTTTGAAGTCCTGAACCTAATTAATATGAAAGCAGAATAAGTATGGAATGAAGTCAAAGATGTTGTTAAGGATGCACATGAAAAGAGACTTCCAAAGATCACAAAACAAAGTAAACTGAGTGTCAGAACAAACAATAAAATTTGCCAAGAAGAAAAGAGAAGACAAAGCCAAGAACTGCAAAGTTCTCAGGAGTCACATATATAAAATCATCAAAGATAGAAAGACATGGGGAAACAAGCAAACTCTTCCAAAAAAATCTACACATTCAGAAGGAGGTTATGATCTCAAATTGGTATGTGAAAGAACATCACTGGACACATAGTAACTAATTTAAAGATCAAACGAAGGAAGGATTATACTGTAAAATAGATAAGATCCAAGATACTTTAGAACAGTGGTTCTCAACCTTTTTAATGCCGCGACCCCCAATTGGTTGTAAGTCAAGGACTACTCAACCGGTCGTAAGTCGAGGACTACTCAACTGGTGCAGCACCGTTTGCAGAATGGGACTTTTGGCAGGCTCAGCAGGGCAGAGACAGCCTGGACAATTCCTATTGGCTTTTGAAAGCCAATAGAATTAGACTCTATTCAAGAGAGTCTATTCTATTGGCTTTCAAAAGCCAATAGAATAAAAGGGAGTAGCATAGCTAAGAAAATAGGGGAAAAAATGGCGGATTGCGTTGTTTGGCGACCCCCATGAAATGGTCGTTCGACCCCAAATGGGGTCCCGACCCACAGGTTGAGAACCACTGCTTTAGAAGATAGTTCCTTCTTTAAAAAAACTTCTAGTACTAGAAGATGAAGGTAAAGCAGTGATTAATGTGTGACTGTGCACACAAACAGCAACTAGAGGCAGAATCATAGCAGAAAAGAAGGTGAATATACTTATAGACCAAGAGTGATTATGGCCCTTAGCAATTGGGGGCCTGCAGCAGGTGAGACCCATTAGCAACTTCATATTAAAAGTACCATCTAGTTTATTTTTTGTCCAATTCACAAGATAATTAAATACATATAAATATTTAAAAGCATAGTGCTTACTTTTTGCAAACTTCTCTGAGTAGTTTAGGTTTACGTTCTCTATCGTCTGTGAAATTTCTGAGTCTGAAGAAGAAAATGAGACAAAATGTGGAATTTTTGCTTTTTACTCCAATCCAAAATAATCTTTGTTTGGAAATTTTACAGAATTAAAATTAGCATTGTAGATGTTAAGCTAAGCCACACAATCCTATGAAAAATCACAGCTCCTTTTGAGAGTGTATTATATATACATACTGAGTACTATACAAACATACATAGCGTGTAAGTATATGTGAAGACCCTGCAAAGTCACCCATGGTATCCAGTAAAACATCCAGATATCCAGTTAAAACAAGCAGGCCTTCTTGGGTAGGAACAATATTGGAAATTGTTGGAGAAAGATAATCATTTTAGTAATGACTAAAAGATAATTTGCAGAGATGTCAGTAGTAAACCACTCCTATACCTAACCAAGAAAAAAAATGTATAGACAATGTAAAGATAATGATGGATCTGCAACTCCCCAAATGGTGAGCTGACTGAGAATTCTGGGGAGAAAATGGCAGATATTAAATGACTGGAATGGATGGAATATTTCTTACTGATTGGGAAGAAAGCATTTTTGCCAGTAGAAAGTATTTTTTTTCCTCCAATTGAAAACCAATGAACTATTTTGGAAATCTACATTTTTAATCAAGTATTTTAAAAACAATTGAGAGAGTTAAAGCTGGGGAATGAGCAGGTTGAAGTCAAGAATCAGTCACTAGCAGCAGTTTTAAGGAACAAATCTGGTTAAGAGACCATCTGGCTGCCTTATATCTCTTCCTGTTGAGGAGATCCAAAGGTCAGTCCATGGAGAAGCTAAAATGTACATTTGTGGTAGCTCACTGATGAAGGAATTCTTCACTGTTACAAGTTCTCAGTTCTCATCCTTGGAATTCCTGACAATACTATTGATACTGGGAATCACTTACATTTCTCCAGGATCAAGAACAAGTGAGTAATCCACATTGCGAAGCTTATGGCTACTAGGGCATAAAGAATGGGTGTGTGAAGTTTTCTAGAGTCATTCTCTTTTGCTGGTTTACAGGTGGAAGGAGCTGTGGAAGAGAAGATTAATGACAAGGTTCAGTTTGCAGCTATTAATTCTGTGGAGTACAAAGTTGCAAATTTATGTAGACAAGCTTGTGCTCCTAACCTAAAATGGGACATGTTTCTTGAACTAAATAAAATGTTGAGTTTCATAGATAGAAGCAAAATATTAAAAAAAAATGTTTTACATTTGAAACTGACATAAAGAGATAAAGCCAAAGTAGGCATTGCTTTAAAAAACCTATTTCAATCCTGTATTTCTTTCTATAGTTTGTTTGATAATGCAATTCAGTATCTTTCATCCAAACCAACTGCAGTCCTGCCAATATGAAAAAAAAAATGAGGTCAGTTTCCACAATGCACTACTTTAAGCTCTTAGGCAAAAATTGGAAGATAGATAACACTATAACAAATAAATAAGGCAGACGAACTTATAAACAAACCACTACAGAGTTCTAAAGAATGTTGTCAGCAATGACTCCCCCCCCCCCTTTTTTTTTTTTTTTTAAAAAAAAAGGGCAAATAGGAGCTTTGAGGAGTAAGTTTCTTTTAGGAAAAAATATTGCAGTACTGTAATTAACCCAGCTGCAAACATTCCTTCTTTTTACAAGCTCATGATTTAAAAATTAAGTAAACCTATTTTGACTCTAGACACATTATGAAAGAAACTTATAAAATTTTCCGGAAAGGCAGGAAGTTTTAGACTCAGGTAGAGCAGCACAAAGCTATAGAAGTCATAGTAATATTTATCTGACTTTTATACAGGTGCTAGTTGAAAGAGGAAGAGATTCTTGGGATTTTTAATAATTATGAAAATTTTGACAAGCCTCAGTACCCCTCCAAATTACCTTTCTCTTCAAATCAGAAGTGTTGTGCAGCCTTAAAAAGAATTGTTATCAGTAGCTATTTAGGTATGAAGTCTAAATCATTCTGGAAACTCTACAGTCTTTAAAATATTTCACCTCTAAAGCTAATTAAATAAAAGCCTCCTTTCTTTAGCAAATATTACTATGGCTGCACTAAAAGAGCCAATACCTTCTTTCTTTTCCATTTCTTTTAGTGGTAAAGATACTATTACAGCACTACCATCATCATAATCATCATCATCATCCAAATGACTGGGTGAATCTAAAGAGAAAAAAAGTTGATTAACTCTTAATCTTTCTAAGTACAATACAAAGCAATTCACAGCCAACCCAGTATGACTTCATTGTTGGTAAATGTATTAGAAAAGCTGAATCACCTTTAATTCAGTTTCTTGTTATTTTAATATGCAAGTTCTATTGAAATTTGCAATCTATTTTTATTTAATTGAAAAGACCTGCTAAATTGAATCTCAGAATCATCTCTTACCTGCTTGCCCAGTCTTGGCAGTCTTAGATATCAGCACTGAGCAAGGAAGCAAATCAAGCAAATCTTTTAACAATCTTTCAAAAGAGCTCCAAACCTGTCCATAAAAATTGCTCACAAACAACTGACAGTGGGGAGACGTGGCAATTTGAACATTGGAAAATGTGTGATCAGTCAAAGCTGCTAGTGGAATGAGGAAAGGAATTGCTGAAGCCACATGATATTGGTGCTATGAAAATTTGAAGGGACTGCATTTTCCTGCAACCAGCTGCCCAAATCATGGTAGTTTGGATGGAGAAGGACTAAAATTGATCTGTTAATCAGGAGGAAGAGGAAACAAAGTTGAACTAATTAGCATACTCTCCAAGAATGGAGAAATCAAAATAATCATAGTAACTCACCTTTTGGGGGAACAGGAAGTGGTGGCAATGCTCCAGCAAACATATAAATACCTATTGACACAAAGAAAAAAAATCTTATTTAATATTTGATATTCTCTGGGGCATGTGTCGTGACACCACAATTAGTATCATCAGTGTATATGTACCAGGGCAATTCAGAAATAAACTTCCATTTGGTTATCAATGACAGACACTCACAGATACAGAGCTTTTATTATACATATTAGAAAACTACGACATTACATTACTTTTTGACATAATCACCATTCAAATTGAGGCACTTGTCATAACATCTTACAAGGTTTCAAATTCCTTAGTAGTAGTCGCTTGGCGCCAAATGTAGGCTATAGGGGGGTGATCAAAAATATCCCAACAGAACTGCTTCAAAAGTTCTTGGGTGAGTCTAGCAGTTTGTGGGCGAGCATTATCAAGAACCAACACCACACCAGAAGTCAGCGTGCCCCAACACTTGTTATGGATGGCTTATCTGAGTTTTTGTAACGTTTCACAGTAGACTTCTGAAGTGATGGTTGAACCATGCTCCATGAACTTCACTAGCAGTACTCCTTTGGCATCTTCACATTTGGTGGGATTTTCTATGGCACCACTTCCAGTGTGGTGTTGGTTCACGATAATGCTCGCCCGCACACCACTAGAAGCACCCAAGAATTTTTGAAGCAGTTCCATTGGGATGGGGGTTTTTTTTGTAAATTTTTTTTATTTTAAATTTTACATTACATCATAGAAAATACTTCAGATAAAGAGTAAAATAAATTTATACACATAACTTTCGGTATTGCTCACCCATTTCCCTCCAAACCGCATCCACCCTCTAACCTCTTCTCTCACTTCCCTCTTTCCCTCTTCTTCTTCACTCCCCCCCTCTCCTCCTTCACCTCAACCTTCCTATTTACTTCTCCCCTTCCTCCTATCTTCTCATTCTGGATGCAGTCCAGGAGAAATGCCCGAGCAATTCCTCTCTCCAAAATAAAACATAATATTATATACAACGAAACTATTTCTACTTATCTGAGCTATTTAATCTTCAACCCAACCCCCCCGCCCCCCACCCCGACTTCCCAGAGCCAAGTACAGGGTTATACAAACATATTAAACATAATCTATTTAAGTTTACTAATTATACAATAACCAAAATCATACTAACCCTTAACTCTCTTCAAACTTTAACATCATAATTTTATAAACAAATCTATTACTCATAAAATAAATGAAACTTTGTAGTTCCATATTTCTTCTGAACATATTCTATCCATCTTCTCCATACAATAACATATCTCTCTTGTGAATGGTCCTTTAAATAAGCAGAAATTTTAGCCATTTCTGCTAAATTAGAAACCTTAAATACCCATTCTTCTAAAGAAGGCAGAGAATCCTTCTTCCAATATTGACCCACCAATAATCTTGCTGCTGTTCCGTTGGGATGTTTTTGATTCCCCCCCCCCCCCATATCTCAGTTTTGGCACCAAGCGACTACTACTAAGGAATTTCAAACCTTGTAAGACGTTATGACAAGTGCCTAATTTGAATGGTAATTATGTCAAAAAGTAATGTAATGTTGTAGTAATATAATGTAATGTAATGTGTATGTAATGTGTATAATAAACGTTCTGTGTCTGTGAGTGTCTGTCATTGATAACCAAATGGAGGTTTATTTCCGAATTGCCTTTGTATGTGTGACTGTGTGTGCTCATGCATGATTGTGGTTAAAATAGTGACTAGAGAGCTGATATTTTTTTGTCACAGGTAATATAGCCTTTCCATATATAATTATGCACTTGGCCATCATAAAACATTTTATTTAAAATTTAATCTTAGGTGAATTTATTAGAGAATATATCCCATTCACATAGCAGCCTTTACTCAGAATTATTTTGGAACATAATGACATAGAAATACTTCTAATGAAATAAACATGTAGAAATTGCATTTTAAATGTTCTCTAAACAACAAGGCGTGTACCTAAAAATCCAGATGATTTATTAGAAATAATAATTATAATTATTATAATCTCCCAGGGAGATTATAATAATACCTTTATATGATTGTGGACCTTGTATGCTCTGAGGAAAATGACAGCTATGCCTGAGGTTCAATGATACTGGACAGGTATCATCACAAGAGCCAGACAAAGTATGTCTCTCCCATAAACAATAGGGTGAGACAAAATTTACAGAAACCCATATTGGATTGGTCATCACCTGGGTCAACAAGGACCACATTAAGGAACATGGAGTTCCTGAACATCTGATGACAAATAGGCTACAGGACTCAAATAAGCTACTGGCTAAGCAATCAGGCCTAGCAGCTGCAGGACGACTGAAAGAAAAGTTGTTTACCTGTTGCGAGTATACAAAGATTGAAAACAAAGAAATAATGACGTGTTATTAGAAATCAGTCTCAGTGAGAAGAGGATATCTGAAAAGAATATACCAGTTCTGGAAAGAATAAGATCCAGAAATAAAAAGAAGAAATTAGAAAGAATACAACATAGGCTAGTAAATCAATGATGATTATAATATGAAACAAAGGATTTACAGAAGCAGAATTGCAAAGAACAGCAAAGATCTGTCCAGGGCAAAGAAATTAAAGCCTTGCCAGACATAGCTCAGGCTATAGAGGCAAACTGGTTCTTGATGATAGAGGAAGTTACTTTCATTGCCAAACAAGGCACCCTCTGCCTTCTCCTTAAAATCTACATACCCCACCCAAACTCTAAGACAGGAGACATAATAGGATTAATCCACCAATACCAAAAGGGCACACTCAGACTCAGGTCAAAGTACCCGACACAGGAAATACAAAGCCTCAAACAGGAACAGAAAACAACCTCAAAACTCCCAGAAGGTATACAAGCCCACCACTCTGCTCCATGTGGTCACTTTTTTCCAGAGCCATCTTTCTGTTTGGCTCTCCTCTTCAATAAACTACAATCTTCTTTCTAAAGCAGTTGGCATGTGTTGTTTATTCCCGGCTTGGATTTGACCCTGATGAAGATTTTTCCATCAACATATTAATAATACCAATACTGTTGTATCATATAAAAGCACCAGTTCATTGCAAGAAACAAATCAATCTAAAGCACAGCTGCAGTTATAACTGAATACCTTGGACTGATTTCAAATGCAAAATCAACAAACAAGAAAAAAAGCCCAACACTGCACTACCAGAATGGAAGATCAGGCTGGGAAATAAGATGAGCATGCTAAGATCAGATGCAAGCAAGCTAGAACAAATGAAAGGAAGCTGAAGAACTTGAAGGCCAAAGAATGCCTAATCAAGAAATATCAGCTGAAAGCAAGGAAGATCAAGGAATCACTGAAATTAACAAAGCATCAAATAGTAACTAATAACCAAAATAAATACTAATAGTAAATAGAAATTGAATAATACAACCAAGGAGATTAGCGGATATGAAACTTTAATTGCACACTATAGGCAGAATCTCCAGCTTCAGTCAAATCAGTAATGTTTTTACCAGTCCATCCGTTGAGAGATTCCAATGAACCAGTCAACACCGAACAAAGAAGAAACAGTGTAGTTCAGGGTGCAGCTGTTGGACAGCTCAAAGAAATAAAACAAGAATGTAGCTTGGTTAAAAGAGATGAACAAGAATAAAAAAGAAGCTGAAATGAAAGAACTTGTAATAACAGCAGAAATGAAAGAGAAAAAGGCAAGGAAGATGAAGTATAGGTCAGCCTCAGATGAAAATGAACTGCATGGTTCTTGGTTGAAACATCTGACTGGCCTCTGCCTATTCACTGCCAAACAGTTTAACAGAATACTGAAAGAAGGTGAAATTGAAGATTGGTTAACATCTGGCAAAACCTCTTTGATAATGAAAGATCCAGCAAAAGGGTTGATTAACCTGCCTACTAATAACTTTCAAAATGCTAACTGATGTCATAGCTGGTGCAGTCCAACAGCATCTAGTTAAAAAAAAGCTCTTTGTGTCCGAGCAGAAAGGAAGTTGCCCAAACAGCAAAATAACAAAATATCAGTTCCTAATTGACAAAAAGAGAACTGCAAGAGAAGGATGACCAGCTTCAATGTAGCATGGATTAGTTACAAGAAGGTATTCAACTTCCTAAAATGTGACTGGATAATAAAATACCTAGAAATACCAGGTATTAGTAGAAGCATCAGAAATTTTGTGCAGAGTTCAACAGCACAATAGAAGACACATCATTGCTAGTCAATGATGATGGGAAGGTTAGTATCAAGAGAGGAATCTTTCAAGGAGTCTCACTATCATCACTACTGTTTGTCATTGCAGTGATTCCTATGTGTCAGCAATACTGAACAAGTCAGATCATGGCTATTAAATATCAAAAACATCTGCCAGGCTATTCCATCTCCTTACAAGGGCTATCTGAAGCTGTATAGAAAGACATCATCTGACATAGAATTGCTGCTCAACAAAATGATGTCATTGTGAATAAATAACTGCAGCCCTGCAATACATTCCAGTCTTAACTCAGTATTACAGGTAATCTTCAACTTACGATCATGTCAACTCTATGAAGTAGCCTTCCTGATGTATAACCTTCTAAATGGGTTAGATTTCCATTTCCATAACTTCCAGCCAGCCAATTTCCTTTGACCACATTTGTTTAGAACCGTGTTTCCCAAACTTGACAATTTTAAGGCATGTGGACTTCAACTCCCAGAATTCCACAGCCAGCAATGCTGGCTGTGGAATTCTGAGAGTTGAAGTCCACATACCTTAAAATTGTCAAGTTTGGGAAACACTGGTTTAGAAGTATGGGCATACCAGAAAGGCATCAATATCTGGATTTACATTACACCGCAGTAGCCTTCCCCAAATTTGTGCCTTCCAGCTGTGCCAGAATTAAACTCAAAGGAACCAGATTAGTTTTTTCTCCTAAACGTATTTTCTCTGTGTTCAAAAAGTTCAGAGAAACATTTTAAGAATGTGCTTGTCCCCCATAAAAAGAAGATTGCAAATCTGTCCAGCATTGAATGGAACTTGAATGCAGTAGCTAGGTACCAACTTTTTTTCCCCAGAGATATTAATTTAAGGTACTTGTATTAAAAGATAAACAAACAACAAAACAAATATTTTCCTTTGATAAAAACATTTTAAATCCTACAATCAGAATTTTCTATCTCTCGATTAAGTTTAAGTTTTCTAACTCTCGATTCTATCTCTCAATTAAATTTATGCCATTTATCATTAGAAATTAGAAAAATGTTTCATGGTGGCTGACCATTCCAGCATTCTGCATTGTACAGCTCTTTTCTTTCTTTTTTAATAATACTGTCAACTCTCTGAACTCTATAATGGCACTCACTCCATCTGTAGTGGGAATGCAACCTACAAATTGAATGCCATCAATGGACAAACCAGCCATGCTCTGTTGGGGAGGGGAGGGGGTGCTGCTGCTGTTCACTTTGCTTGGCTTTTGCTCAGATTTCTCTCCTAAAATTCTAGTGTAGGATTTCTGGGATTTGGGGCAAGACTGTAGATCTGCTTTGTGTCCCGTCTCCTTTTTGTGCATATCTGTTTGTAAATAAGCCTTCATTTATTTCAGGTACTTTCCCCATCACAATTCAGAAGGACACTTGGTGGCTTGCATACAATAGGTCATACAGTTAAAACATCCACTAAAAACTCAAGAGTCATAAGTAAGAGATAAAAACAATAAACAACGTAAGTAAAAATCTCAGTAATACCAGAACAATAGAAAATAAAAATGGTAAATGCCTTAGATCCCCAGTATTTTCTCTTTGCAAAGCTTAGTAAGTGATGACTGTGGGACAGCTGATCATTTGGAAAATTGGGGGGAGCATGTAATCCCTTTGCAATATAGCATTTGCATCAATGCAATCCTTATTCTCTTAGAAGCTCTTCTGTAAGTTACATTTAAGGAAAAATAGGATCTTGTTTCAAATCCATATTGACATAATCCTTTGGCAGGTGTTCATCTTACATGAAGAAAGGAACTACAAATTTTAGTGATAAAAGCAAGAGCTAGAGATCATGATCACTTACCTGAAATACAGATGCCTTACTGGGTGAAAAAAATAATACTTTCTTTGGAGAAAGAAGGAGATAAGCCAGATAAGAAATGAAAGCACAATTTAGAACTTTCACAGATATTTTGCTTAGTTCTGCAATGTGTCCAGTATTCCCCTTATTCGGTTTAGTGGTGCTTCCTATAGTAAACCAAGTTCTTCCTCTTTGCAAATGAACATTAATGAGCTGTTAACACTGAGTGTCTTCGGGTTAAGTGATGAAAGAGTGAGGTAAAGTGATTATGGGGCAGGCTGCCTTTTTATGGCCATGAAGTGCCTCTTCTTGTGTAATATTGTGGTTTTTCCAAGCAACAGAGCAAATACTTAGGAAAAAAACTGTCAGTGTCATAACTGCTACTAAAATAGCTGGTGTACCATCCTGAATTCACAGCCACACATCTGATAGTGGGAAGCTTGAGAAAAAAGTCATGCTGGTTGGGGATTCTGTATCTGTGACTGAAACAATATCAGTACCAAGCAGGTGTGACACAGTTGTCGGAGGGAAATTGAAACATGCTTTTAAGACACGTATAACTAACCATTTTCAGTATTAGGTCCAGTGATATGTCACACCCATGCCCACGTAACATTAGCACAACTGTCCTTTTAGGAAAGAAAAGTCATCTCCAGTAAAAGCACATCAGAGCAAAAAGAGAAGAGAAGGATTAGTTAGTTATTTTGCTTCTGGAAACCAGGATGGACATTTTCTCTATTAGAAAAGGCACTGAGCAACTTTCTTCTGAAGCTCAAAGGATAGAAAGTCAGCTTATCTATCCAAATACTAAATATATAGATTGGGATCACATAGGAGCGTCAGTTTGGTGTAGTGGTAAAGCTACTGGCCTAGAAACTGGAGACAATGAGTTGCAGTTCTGCCTTCAGCAACAAAGCCAACTGGGTGACTTTGGGTCAATCACTCTCTCTCCGCCCAACCCACCTCAGAGGGTTATTGCTGTGGGGAAAATAAGAGGAGGAAGGAATATTAAATATGTTTGTTGCCTTAAGTTACTTATAAAGTAATAGGCAGGGTAAAAATCTAATAAAGAAGTAAGTTGCTTAACATGCTGCACAAACTAATAGGCAAAAATGGAATCAGATCATATAGCATGTGACAATAGTTTGCAATCATGTTGCAAAATAATTTGAGACAGCTATAGACAACCAACTTTAGTTTTTTTTTCTGCAAAATTGTATATCCTGTCTCATAGTCATCCATGGCTTATCTCATTCTTAAAAGGGGATTAGGAAATACTTATCTGTCAAAGCAGGATAAGGGATCACGATATAGAACATATTTTCATTTTTGAAATGCCATAAGATGTTACTCTTATTCTGGTACATTACAGGACCTTTTATTTTAGTATGCATTCTAGTGTAAACAGTCCTCATCAGATTTCATCAGACTCACCACTTTTACAAGATGCAACTATTTAACTCTCTGGATCTCCCAAGCAGTGTTGCCATGAGAGTCCTTGGGATTGGTCCTTGCATCTGGAGAAGGCTGATCTGGCATCCCACTTTGTGGTAGGAATGCACTATCTCTAGCCTTCCAGTCCAGTCCTATCTGGGCTGGTCCTACCTGTTAGCTGTGATGCTATCCTGCGATTTGGCAGTTGAGCTGCTGGCCTTTTTGCATGTTGATTCTTTGCATCCATTCCTCCTGGCTGAAGAAACCTGTTTCCAAATCTTCTAGGTGCATTAAGTATTCTATTGCTATATTCCAGTTGTCAAAGCTTCACCGGGGTTCACTAACCTTTACTTCCAGTTATTTCACTTCAGCAAAGCTATTTTGAGTACCATTATGCAAATACTGTCAGAAGTTTGACTATTTGGTATTGTTAACAAGATGCTTCTTATTAACTTGGCATTTTTGCTATTTTCACAAACGTTAACCTGTAGTAATGCCCAAAAAGATGGAAACTTGGTAAATCATAATCCAGAGTTTACAAACCACAGTAACTAGTTTAAGCAGCATGCTAATTGAAAAACAAATATTTTAGCTTAGCACGATATGTGAACTATAATTTAGACATTAATCTAGACAGAACAACTGTGGCTTTTGAATAATGAAATTGGATTATTAAATTGCATACACTGACTGGAACCAGTGGTGGGATTCAAATATATGAACAACCGGTTCTCTGTATGGATGCCGCTATGTATGACGTGTGTGAATTCCGGCACCTTTTTTTTTTTTTTTTAGAAAAAAAGCACTGGCTATAAGAGATAGATTCCCACTCTCAAATTCCTGCCAGGAAACACACATCAATCTCTAACTATTGGAGCCAGTCCACCCAAGTAAGCCAAAACTGCTCCCCTATTATCCTTCTCCTTATGTACTGTTCAACAAGAGTGGGCAGTGGAACATTGTATCTCTATTTCCTTGTTGCATCTGCTGATAGCCGCCCAGTGGCCTTGTTTCAGGTGACTTGGTTCCTCCTTGGAGGGAGTAATACTGAAGTTCACCTAAAGGGTTGCTTTGAGGAATATGCTGCACACCTGGCAGAAAAAGTGACTCACATTTGCTCTACGCTGGATTCCAGCTTTAAAGCAGAATCTGTGGAGGTAGTGGGGGCTATGTTCTCCAAGATGATCTGGGAAGAGTTTGAGCCCATGGAACCTGAAGAAGTGGACAAGGCCTTCTTAGATGCTTCTTCGGCCACTTGTGTATTAGATCCATGCCCTTCCTGGTTTATTAAAATTGTGCTAGAGGGGACACAGGATTGGATCTGGATGGTAGTTAATTTCTTCTTGAAAGATAGCGTGGCCCCACCAGCTCTTAAAGAAGTGGTGGTGTACCCCTTCCTCAAAGTACCATTGCTCAACCCAACCAAGCTGGACAGTTTTTCCCCAGTTTATAATCTTCTCTTCTTAGGGAAGCTTGTGGAGAGAGTGTGGCAGCTGCAAAGAATTCTGGGTGAACCCCTTTCAGTTGGGGTTCAGGCCAGGATCTGAGACTAACACAACATTGATCACACTATGGATGATGTCTGGTGGGAGCAGAATGGAGATACTGCATCCATCCTGGTTTTTCTTGACTCTCAGTGGCCTAAGCCAGTTCTGGGAATTGGGGTGAGTAGCACTGTGTTGTGCTGGTTCTCCTTCTTCCAGCTGGTGTTGATAGGCAGGGAGACATCCGGGCCATGGTCCTTACATTGTGAAGTGCCTCAGAGCTTGGTTCTCTCTCCTCTCCTATTTAATATCTACATGAGGCCATTGGGTCAGATGATCCATAGATGACACTCAGCTTTCTATCTCTACTCCAGGTTCCTTGACGGATGCTGTGGGCATCCTACCTCAGTGTCTAGAGTCCATTCATGTCTGGATGGGGCAAAGTGGGCTCCTACTCAACCCTAGTAAGATGGAACGGTTGTGGGTATTTGGACCCTCCAAAGACAAGTTTTTCCATCTCCAATTCTGGATGAGGTGGCACTATCCCAGATAAACACAGTACACAATCTGGGGGGTCCTCCTAGACTTATAGCAGGTGGCAGCTATGGCTGGGAGAGCCTCTAAGCACCTTCCAGTAATGCCCCAGTTGCACCCATTCCTGGATTGGGAGGGCTTGCTCACCATCACTTCTGCCCTTGTAACCTCTCGCTTGGATTACTGCAAATGCTGTACATGCTCTTTCCTTGAAGAACATTCAAAAATTTGAACTGGTGCAAAATGCTGTAATAAATGGTGACAGCTACAGGCACATATAACAGAAATTGAATAAATGAATACAAAGAGCTGTCTGGTTGAATTGTTATTAATTTGAGACTTTGGTTAAGTCACAAGTTTCATCTATTAGAAACTGAATTTACATTGGTTAATATAGTTAACATAACATTTATATTTTAATAAAAATTAAATATGATTTCCAAACAATGTATTTGATCAGATGTTTAATCATCCCTTCTTGAGGTAAAGTCTGCAATTCATTCATTAATGATTTTTCACCAACATGAATTCTTTACTTTAATTGGTTTATTGGTTTATAAACTTGTACATATTTTCTGAGTAAAACAAAAAGTAATTGAGAGGAGAGAATTGCCTGGGCAACTTGTTTGAGGATACCTGAGAAAAAACACAGTTTCAGCAGCTGATGCCAAGATATTTGATTTGCAACTATTGAAGATAAATACTGATTAAAAATAGTATCCATTGAGTGAGGCTGCTACTTAACTTCAGCAGAGGCTGAAATGAGAAGGAGAGAGAAGAGATGTGCAATCTCTAGAAGTTAAGCGTTTTTTCTGTGGTTTTACCTCAGCATATTTTTCCCCACCTGTTACTCTATCAGGATGAAAGCAACACTGCTCATATATATGTGGAAGAAGGAAGTCTTGGACACCACCACCACTACCAGTGCATACACAAAATCATAATAGCATAAAAACATATTCTGACTTTTCACATTAAGTAGCAAATATCAGAGCAATCATGCACAAGCAGCACACCCAACTCCCTTGGGACACAATAGCAAGCATGACCACAGGTGCAGTTCAGGCAGTTGCTCCCTTGCTTAGAAGGAAGGAAGACCTGTTTGCACATGGTTATTTCTCTATGACTCATTATGTTTATGAATCCCAAGAGAAATGCAAAAGATGCAGTCAATATTCAAAATGAGAGCACACACAAGCTGGGGGAAGAAGAGGAAGGCCTATGCTTCTGCAAAGTCCTCAGCTTTAAGCCTTTTTAAAAAGGTCATGTGAACATGATTCTGTAGACCTCCAGGCTAATATAATACCAGTGGTTCTTTCAAGCTTGCAAAGGCTGCTGCGGAGAGGACCGTGGCTAGCATTTCTTTTCACAGATCCAGTTTTCGTTTCCAGAGCAGGCGGCATCATTCCATTTCCCAGAGAAGCGCAGGGTAGCACAGTCTTCACCCGATCCAGCATTATTGGGTTCACCTTTCCCCCAAGAGCTAATGGTGGCAGCAAAAGGGTTATTGTCAGTAACGGGAAACCAATCAGCAAGTATCGTACGTCATTGTGTAAACTACATTCGGAACTGTGTGCAGAGTCTCTATTGCTCCACATCAACCAGGATATGTAGGGCAGTCAACCCAAGAGTCTCCAGATGGGCTGCAACTACAATATACAAAATTCCCAATTCTTCATTCCCCCTTAGAACCTCAATTTTATCCAGGTTGAAAAATGGGAGATACGTCTTCATCCATTCATTTGAAGGCAAACAGGACTCTATATTTTGTCATGAATTTCCTGCCCACCAATTGCATTAGAAATCTTCAATTTCTAAAAATACCAATGAGGGTATTTGTGTAAATCCACATGACAAAGGGTCAAATCCCAAACTTAGAGAAAGTTCTCAAAAAGGCAAAGAAGGGAGAAAACAAAGAGGAACTGCTGTTATGTCAAGACATGCACATTTATTTGTACAGTGTATCTAACTTAGGCTCCAAGAAGTTTGAGGAGGAAATGAAAATAAGAAAAGAAGATAAAAAACAAAACATGCTTCCTTCTGTAAAAAAAAAATAAAATTCCTTGACATCAGTATCTAAAAAACATGCTGACATCAGGACAATTTTTTTCTCAAGAATGTATCATTGTTGAGTAAATTTTTCTCCATAAAGTGAAAGATATGCTTACAAATGAGTTTCATGTCAAACCCTTGGGTAATACTTAACCTCTTCCCTTTTTTGTAAACATTAGTCCTTAAATCTTGGATAAAAATAATCTATTTTTTAACACCTAACAGAATAGCTCAAAAACCAATATCTGTGTTGATCTAAATAGGCAGGGCAGTCCCTTTTCAATTTTTCCTTTTCCATTTGGCCTTCAGAGGGTTTAGAAGGCTCAGAAAAGACTTACTATACAGTATACTAAAATGTTTATGAAAGTACGGCGGAATAGGAGAGTTTTGGGGGTGGGTGCCTTCAAGTCCATTTTGACTTTTGATTGCCTGATTATGTAGGACAGACAGGGAGGAAGCTAACCACCAGATTGCAAAACATGGGGTGAGTGTTAGATGAGAAGCCCCAAACTCATTGGTAGCCTCACATTGCAATGAACAAGAACACACATTCAATTTCGCAGCTACTAAGATTGTTGGCTGAGCAGACACAAAAATAGCCAGGGAAATGTTTGAAACCTGGGAAATGTGCCCCAGGAGTGCTGATTTACCAACAGCATACAAGTTATTTAAGAGCCGAGGGCACACCAGCACAAGGAAACAACAACCAGCAACTTAATAGCCAACCATCAGCACTCCAATTAACAACCAAAAGCCACACACAACCATGAACTACATAAATAGTATGCACTAGCACAGCATAAAGAGAGAAGTTCCCTGAGAATGGGGATGAGTATGAATCCAAAAGCTTGGAAAACTAAATTTCTGGTCCCGGTGACCGTCTCATATTGGATCCTGCAACATTATCCTGGGACACGTAAACTTGCCTTCATTTGCAAAGTAATACAGTTGGCTGCATGTCTAAAGCAGCACTAGAACTTGCAGTCTCCCAGTTTCTAGTCCAGTGGGTTTAACTACTGAGCTACACAACTTCTGGAAATGCAGTATATAGAACAAAACAAATATATGTGGGATTTAAACAGACCTTCCAAATAGAATGAACTGTTCCAAGAAAATATTATGAATTCACTATACATGTAAACATTTAAAGGTGATATTAATTTCCATTTTGTAAAGTTTCTTTGGAAGAAAAAGGCTTTCTAATTTTGTCAAAATCACACTGTCCTGTTCAAAATCACTGTCATGAGAGATAGCATTTCCACCATGCCTATTTATGTATCATCTGGCCACCACCTAGTAGTATATCACTAATGAAAACAGGCTTTGTATAGTCACAGTGATGACTGGCTGATGCTATAAATTGTTAGTGCAGAAATGTTCTATATTTTCAATGTCAGTTGGAGGATAAAGAAACTATTTTTACAGTTCTGATGTTACATATATAGATAATAGTCAAAGGTCTCTTCTCATTCATTTGATTTTGTTCGTTCTGTCCTGATACTCTTTACAGTGTAAGATATAAAGAATCATGTCATTTGTTGATACAGGATGCCCAAATGGACAGTTGCTCTATTTTTTTTCATGATCCTTTATGGCTTGCTGCATATTAGGGAGGTATTTTCTACAGTATTCTGGAATCTACAAATCTCAATTTCCAAGAGATATTATCTATGCAAACCCTTAATTGACTTTCCCACTAAGTGGATTATAATTAAATTTACTTACGAGAAAGATAAAGTTGTATTATCCACCCAGATCCATTGGTTTTCCCTGTCAGCATCACTCAAGCCTATCCAAAACACCTGCTCCTTGTCCATATTTTTTATCAAAAAGTTCTACCAGAAAGAGAAGAGAAAAGGTTATGGCTTTGTCCATAAAAAGTGGGGATATGTTCATCATGTACTAGATATTTTGATTTATGATAGGATAAACATAATCAAGGCATAAAGAGAATACACTTGATCAACAAGTCATTACATTTAGCACCTGTAAAATTTATAACACCTGTAGCAGCACCTACTTAGGAATTCCACTGCCTATCATCCTCTGGTCTACCAGTCAGACCATTTAGACAGGCAGTAAGAGAATGTTTATTCCACATGTTTTTAAATATGCAATTCAAGGTTTTAACTCAGCTCCTTCTGATCTTAAGGTTTTAGCAGTTTTGCTATTTTATAGCATTTCACTTGGTTTTGCTCTTTGAGATCCAGAACAGAGAACCCCATGATTGTAGGCCACAGGATCCCCCCAGCATACTGCCTATGGCCCCAAAATATCTGAGTAGCCCTGCTAAAGCTTCACCAGGCTATTTTTGTGTTTTGGGGAAGGAAGGAAAATTAAGGTAGAAAAAGTGTGTTTTAAGCTCTGCAAGACTTAAAGCACCAATTGTACCCATAATTTTTTTCCCCATTCCCCAAAGCACAAACAAAAAAGTCAAACATTTCACTCTGGTAATAGCAGAACATCATTAATCATACCCCCTGTGGTCCTCAGGCTAGATAGAAAATCATAGTGGATTTCCCCAGGCAAAAAAAATAAAAAATTCTCACTCCCCTTTTACAGGGTTGCTTATGAGAACTGAAAAGCTACATTAAAAAGGCTTAACAAGGCGATCATGAAAAATATTACCTAAGCTGAATTGAATCTGAAATGAAAGCTACTCTCAGTGTTTAAATAAGAACAGGGCATCTCTGATAACGTTTACAGCCAGAGTTCTGTACATATGAAATTATATTTCTCAAATATCACCTTTGGGAAGTCAAAAACATTCCCCCCCCCCATATCTCCCCTTGTCCTGATAAAAGCAGAATCGATATGTACCTGTTCTATCCCATGGTTCAAAATAACCAGGTGAGCATCTTCATTTTCACAAGCCTGCTCAGCTGTCTTCCAGGGTTTGTTTTCAAAAGAAAAGAAGTAGCAGCTTTTTTGAAAGTGCAGCCAGTGAGCTGGACAGGTTGTACATAATAACTCTGAAATAGTCCAAAAGGGTGGGGCAGAATTAGAGAGAACTGGGGTGCTTTGTAGGACTCAATAGGTTAGATTACAGGTCCAATTGTCCCTGGCCAATCTGGCAGTAGAGGATGGGGAGCAGAAGAGTTTTTATCTTGTAAGACGGGAGGCCTGTGTGTTAGTTTCTTTGGAGGAATTTTATTCACTGTGTCTCAGAAAGGAATTCTTTGGCTTGATCCCTATCTTAACATTTTGTTATTGTTAAGATAAACATCAAACTAGAAAACTGCAACATGTGAAATAGTTTTTATGGGCGGCTTCTCTATGATAAGTTTGAAAGTTTCCTTATGCTGCTTGAGTATTTAATTCATTTGTCCTCTTTTGAAATGACGTAAATAAAACTTACAGAAGATGATAGCTTATTATTTCATGGCTTCAATGTATACAGGGATCCATACTACTATTTTTGTGTCTATACAGGTAATCCTCGATTTATGACCACAACTGAGCCCAAAATTTCTGTTGCTAAGCAAGGCAGTTGTTAAATGAATTTTGCCCCATTTTATGACCTTTCTTGCCACAGTTGTTAAGTGAATCATTGCAGTTGTTAAATTAGTAACATTATTGTTAAGTGAATCTGGTTTCCCCATTGACTTTGCTTGTCAGAAAGTCACATAAGGGACTCTGGGGACACTGCAACCATCATAAATATGAACCACTTGTCAAGTGTTCGAATGTAAATCAGGTGACCATGGGGATACTGCAATGGTCGTAAGTGTGAAAAATAGTCATAAGTCACTTTTTTCAGTGCCATTGTAATTTCAAATGGTCACTCAATGAATTGTTGTAAATTGAGGGCTACTTGTAATGCAAGGTAATACATCCATAGCAACTTCTGTACTTTTCTATAGATTTGCAATAAGGCAATGGTATATGATCCTTATTGCCTAAAATGGAAGAAGAACTTAATGAATGAATTCATAAAAGACTCATGACAGTTCACTGGAGTTAGGATTGAGCAAGAAATAAAAATACCCTTTACTAAAAGATATGCCATTCCTTCTTGCCTCAGCCTTACTTTCCTCAACACTACTAGGGGATATGTATCTTTTCTCTGTTCTCCATCAAAAAGTTCTCAATTATGAAAGTGAAAATAATAGAGAAAAATACTGAATTTCGCGATCGTATCTGCAGATGGTTGAAAGAATATGGAAATTGTATTACTATGTATTGTGTTGAAGTCATCAGCTAGCAGAAAGCATCTGCTACTGTAATTAGGATGAAATAGATAGATAGATAGATAGATAGATAGATAGATAGATAGATAGATAGATAGATAGATAGATAGATAGATAGATAGACAGACAGACAGACAGACAGACAGACAGACAGACAGACAGACAGACAGACAGACAGACAGATCAATCCACGGCTTTAGTCACCATTCACAAGTCACTCAAGATTTTGCCCCTACTTTTCCTGGCCAAAGCTATTGTGGGCTTGCCCAGGCAAAACAGGCATGAGTTTTGACCACACTTTGGTTTTTCCTCGACAAGTCTGAAAAGATTGTTATTGTTCTGCTTTGTCACACAATCAGCCTAATGTTTAGACTGGAAAACAGCCATATTTTCATATCTTTGATGTGGAGGGGAAAGAGAGAGGAGGATATTGTGCCTTGGAGCTCTGTGGCCACAGGTGTCACAGTGAACAAACAGAAGCCAAACACTCAGCAGGAAAAGCCAAAATCCTGCTGAAGAAGAGGCCATGGGAAAAGCAGCAGCAGCTGGAAAAAGGAGGTGAGACTTGGCGTGAGGCGAGTGCTCTTTTAGCCCGGAAGAGAGAAAGTGTTTCTTCTTGACTGGAGCACACACACTCCAAAGAGGAAAAGAGTAAGTTTCAGCTTTAAAAACATGCAAAAAATGTGCAAGAGCTGCACCTGCAGGATGTTGAAGGCTATGATGGAACCAAAATAGAAAAAGAAACCCAAACAGAGAATAAAACTGACTGAACTCTATACAGCAGGAGTCTGCATCTATAGAGAATCGCAATAGTGACATGTGAAAATTAGTAGCAAAGAAATGTAGACGTGAACAATAAAGAAATATATTGTACATCTGGAATACTGTAGAGAAATATGAAGGTATACAGGTGGTCCTCGACTTACAACCACAATTGAGCCCAAAATTTCTCTTTCAAGTGAGACATTTGATAAGTGAGTTTTGTCCCATTTTTATGATCTTTCTTGCCATAGTTGTTAAGTGAATCATTGCAGTTAGTGATTCACTTAACAATAATTAGTAACAAGTTGTTCAGTGAATCTGGCTTCCCCATTGACTTCACTTGTCAGAAAGTCACAAAAGGTATCACATGACACCGGGACACTGCAACTGTCATAAATATAAGTCAATTGCCAAGCGTCTGAATTTTGATCATGTGACCATGGAGTGCTGCAAAGGTTGTATGTGTGAAAAAAAGTCATAAGTCACTTTTTTCAGTGCCTTTGTAACTTCAAAAGGTCACAAAATAAACTGTTGTAAGTCAAGGACCACCTGTAGTGAAGTAGGACATTAAAAGTAAATAATATAGAGCCTACAGAAAATAGATAATTGTAATAGAATATAGCTTTAGTATTAATAATATTGAACTAGGAATAGGAGATTGAAACAATTAGGTATAACATAGCATAAGACATAGATTCTTATACTTAGATAAGAGCAGTAGAAATACTATAAGGCATAGATGTAGACAGAACTCCAGAAGTACATTACCAATTTATAAAATAGTTGAAGACATTCACAGTTTGCAAGTTCCTTTTGTAAGTTATTATTACAAAAGTCCCCTCCAGCTACTGAAGGGAGATTAAAACAAACAAACAAACAAACAAATTATCCTACTTTGAAGTGCTTTTATGTCTTTATTGAGTCTGGGGTCTATCTGATTAATTGTGGTTTGAAAGAATCCATGACAGTTGTCAGCATTAATGGGATTGCCTCAGACTCAAGGAAGACCCCCAAGTGGTATAATGAAAAGGGGGAAAAAAAACTTGGATACTGGAAGAACTCATATCCTGCAGGCCTTAGCCAGCATAGTGGCTTAAGAAATGAAATAGCAAACCAGAGCCCATACTATACAATTAAAGTTGGAAGAGGCAGAGAGCACTGCTGCTCCTGTAGATGCCAAGGGCATTATTCTTTCTTTGGGCAGCCTCAGCTGGATATTGAGCCAAAAGAAAGATTGGAACAGTTAGAAAAAAGAGTAAAGTCCTGATGCTTGGGTTAAAATATCATTATAGAAATGCTAATCTGGATGGAAAATGGCTGTGGCCAGAGAACAAGACCCAGGAGGTCGCAATAGAGGAGATGATGCTAGAGCAGCTTTTACATTTACTTCCCACCAATGGACAGTTTGGATGCAAAAGTACCACCTAGAAACCAGCCAAAGGATGTTAAGAGTTGTATAGAGAGTTACCTTGTTGTAAAAAGAGAATAAAACAACTGGAAAGGAGGTAGAGAGGCAGGAAAAAGAGTGGGGAAAAAATGTCTTGGGAATTCAAAAAATAAAAAAAAACCTAGTTGAGTTGTATCCAAATAAAAGGAAAATATGGGAGCACGCAAAGACCTATACCTGTTGTATCTGTGAAAAGAGTGGGCATTGGTCTAAAGTCAGTTGAAACCAAATAGAAAAAAAAGGATGTCAACAATAGTTGGGCATTCCTGGAAAACAAAATAACAGCTAAAAACATTAAGGTAACTCTTCAAGATCTTGTAGATGCTGGAAGTAGAACATCCTTAGAGACAGACAGGCAGGCAAACAGACAGGTGAGATAGATGATAGATCAGTGGTTCTCAACCTTTTTAATGCCGCGACCCCCAACCGGTCGTAAGTCGAGGACTAAACCGGTTGTAAGTCGAGGACTTTCCCTGCCCGGGAGCGCCGCGCATGCGCAGTGCCGCCCCCCACGCCAGCCGAGGCGTAGCAGGCAAGCGGCAGAGACGGAGCAGGCCGACCACCGGCTGGGCCACCAGCTGGCCCAGCCCAAGGGAGGTAAGGCACCTGCTGGAAAAGGGGAAAAAAATGGAGGACAGCCTTGCTTAGCGACCCCTGTGAAATGGTCAATCGACCCCAAATGGGGTCGCGACCCATAGGTTGAGAACCGCTGTGATAGATAGATAGATAGATAGATAGATAGATAGATAGATAGATAGATAGATAGGCAGGCAGGCAGGCAGGCAGGCAGGCAGGCAGGCAGGCAGACAGACAGACAGGGAGAGACTTTCTGAATAAGAGATATCTGATGGCATCTCGTTCATAAAAGCAGTATGAAAAAGATCAAACAAGTGGCCCAAAAGAAGGCACCGGGGCACATGTTGCAGCACCAACAGCATCATCATTTGTGTGGACAGAGGCTTCCTTAGTTGAGTTTTGCACACCATCAGCTCTGGGAGAGTCACTGGAAAACATAGCGTAGGATTTCCATTTAGTTCTTAAGACTACAAAATCTTCCTTCTATTAATCTGACTAATTTCTTTAAAGTAAATCAGGTGGTACCCATTGTTATATCCACATCCTATATTAATAAAATGTGAAATGGTTAAATGAAAGGGCTGATATTTCTTTTTATCCAACTGGGAGAAAAGAAGAGAGATGGAAATGCAATACAATCACAGCTGTATCCACAGAGATTACCTTGCAGAAACTGCTGTTTCTGTATTTTAAGCCCAGGAAATGAAGAAAACAATAAAAAATATCTCAAACTGACTTTTCCTTAACTCCCCAGGGTTTAAGATGGAAGGAAGAAAAAAAAAAACAGCCAAGCTTTCAAGACATTCATTCATTCATTCATTCATTCATTCCATCCATCCATTCATTCATTCCATTCATTCATTCATTCCATTCATTCATTCATTCATTCAAATTTTTATAGCTGTCCATCTTAACCAATGACTCTGGGCAGTTTACAGTACATTTCAAAGATTCTCTTGCTATACTATAAAGCAGAGTTCCAGTCATTTTCATAGAACCTGTTTCCTGTCTTGGTTTATCTTAAAGGGCTGACAGCAGCCCACAACCCTATTCTGTGGCTATGAACTACTCACCCGTGAAGTTACGTACTGCATCTAGTATCTGCATCACATCTTCGGCAATTCTAGCATTTTCTCTTTTGAGCTCTGCCAGTGTTTCCAGCACAGAAGGTCTCAAACTCCAGTTCTCTGCCAAAGCAGCTGAGAAACAGAGAAGACTCCCAGACTTAGCAAATAAATATAACAGTGACACCCTAGCCTAGAAAATCCTTCTTCCACATAATCTTATGTTTTACTGCTATATGCACCTTGGTTAAAAAGAGTAATTTCTTGGAACAGATTAAACGTCCATCTAGTCCGGGTATTCTGTTCTCACAGTGGTCAGCCAGATGCCTACAGGTGGCATGAGGATAATACACTTTATATATTATAGTATATATTGCAAGACTCAATATAGTACATATAGCACTGTCCAATAGTACTGTTATGATTAGTTCAGGAGTCTGTGCCAATACATATGCATGACAGTTGATTTTATTTAATGTATCTGTTACAAGCTTTATTAGTTTTATGTGATTCCAGGAAGTCCATCAATTTCCTGGAATCACATAAAAATAATATACAACAATCAAATAATATCACATAAAATAAAGAAAGCTAAAACGCTAAAGACAAATAAGGGATGGTGAAACTGATGAATAAACTAAGAAAAAAAGTTAATTCTTGCAATGTATATCAAGGTGCTTGAAAGAATAGTGGCTGCTCATATACTTCTGATCTGAATTCAGGATGTTAGTGATACTTTTGAAGGCTAAATGGTTTTGTACCTAACAAATTAGTTGGCTGAATGGCTATATTTAAAGAGTGCTTGTTAATGGCTCTATCTCAGTTTAGAAGGAAGAATTGAATGCAAAGCCACAGGATTCTGTCCTAGCCCCTGGAGATTTTTATATTACAATGACATGGTTGAAAAAGTTGAGGGGGCATTCATTCATTCATTCATTCATTCATTCATTCATTCATTCATTCGATAGTTGCCCATCTTACCACTTGTGATTCTGAATGGTAAGCATAAGATTTAAACCATCAGAAACAACAAAAAGAACAAAAAATAGCAATATTAGAGTAATAACATATTAATGTCCAAGGACAAACTTACAGATCTCTTAGGAGGTCCCTGATTTTGATTAAAAGTCTGCACATATCTGGCAGAGATGTCAGCATGTGAATCCCCTTAAGTAGATGCTCAGGAATAACGTGCAAATACTATGCATAATTTGAGAGTGTAAATAAGAACAATATCCCTTACCTTTGAAAGTGTTTAACTCTCCACCTACTTGTTTGATATCATTAGCAATTTCACCCAATTTTCCAGAATCTGAAATTCAATTTTATCATTACAAGTAAGTAGAAGATGCCACTCTAATTAACAATGAATTTTATTATAACAGTTCATAACATCCTTTCAAACAGCTAAGCCTGCCACTCTATTTAACCTAGAGTTACTTGTACATTTTAGTACAAAATTTCATGTCCTGAACTATCTTGTAAGGTGCATGAAAAAAACTAAAGCCAAACATTCTGGGAAATAAGATTAAACGGGATTTAGAGAATACTGTAAAACAAAGCTGCAAAAGCTGATGAAATACTAGAAGCCCTATTTAAAATATTACAATCTTAACACATAACTTGAAGTTTGAAAGCAAGTATGGAAAATGCAGCAGTGGCCAAGGGACTAGAAAAGACTGGTTTTTATTCCAGAATAAAAAAAAAACGCCTGTAATTACAAAACATTGCTCACAACATCCAACAATTACATTTATTTCATTTGCTAGGAATATACCATATATTCCGACGTATAAGGCGACCCGGCATATAAGATGAGCCCCGTCTTCGGCGCCGAGTCGCATGCCTAGAAAGTCGTGTTATACGCCGGAAACTACCGTAATTTCCGGCGTACAAGACGACTCAGCGTATAAGATGACCCCCGACTTTGGCGCCGATTTTACCACTTGCGAAAGTTGTCTTATACGCCAGAAAGTACGGTAATGGTTAAATTTTTCCAATCCAAACTTCAACAACAGATGGAATGCAAGTGACCAGGTATACAGCTGCATTCAGAAAAGGCAGGAGCATCCAAAATCAAGCTTGTAGTGCAAAAAAATTTCAAGACCAGCAGTAATTCCCAACCTGATATCTGTTAGATATGTTGGGATCACGATTCCTGGAGTTCTCAGTCATAATGCCTCCGAATTTTAAGATTTCTCCTCCAAAACATATATGAGGCCCTTGACTGAGAGAGTCTGTCTTCATTTACTGGAATATTCTGGTCCATCATTTGTGATGAATCTCAAAACAGATTGTTATGAAGACACCAAGTACTGTACAAACACATTTGAAGACATTCTCTCTTTTCAATTTTTTCCCTATTACCCTAAAATAGTTCTCCTTAACTTGCTATCTTTGAGATGTTTTAAATTACAACTTCATACCATTAGTCAGTGGGTTTCCTTGTCTAAGAGTGCTAATAATTGCCCAGCAAGACTTTTGTAAAGAGATAAAAGGATTTACAAATGTCTACACTGGAAGAGTGGATAATGAAGCTAATGGAATTGGCTGAGATGGTGAAAGTGACTATTAAAGAAAACACTTTGTCTAACTTGGTTTCTACTTGGAAACAAACTATTGGACTTCTTGCTAGAAATTGAATGAAATGAACATTTAATTTTGGGATTTTCCATTTTTGAGTAAGAAGTTAATGTATTTATAGCTGCATCTGTACCAAACAAAATTTGAAATTCTTCTTCTTCTTTTCCCTTTTCCCTCTTTTTTCTTCTTTTTTCCCTCCCTTTTCTTCTTGTTCTTTCTTTTGCAGGCCTGATTTTGCTTTTTCTTTAACCTTATTTTTCTTCACTCCTTTTTTTTTTGTATTTTGTCCTTTGTTGAAACTTAAATAAAAAATTTGAACCTAAGCTCATGACTATGTCCAATAATAAACAATGGTACACAGTACTGTTTTCATGCTCATTGCAGGCAAATGCCACTTGTCATGTCTAACAACTCAAAATGTTGTTATTCATTTCCACATTAGGGCTGTCTGAGAAAGGCTGTCTTATGATTCTTTCCTTCATCCTTTCAGGAAAGAAGCAAGATTTGAAGAGGAGCCTCCCAATGAATAGTTCAGTATTAGACAAGATGCATATAGAGTTATTCACTATCACTGAGGCAGCAGGGAATCTGATTTGTTACTGTAATATTGACACCACAATGTCTGGGGGGCTCTAGAAAATGCCACGGGGGTGGTGGTCTGGGTCACTCCAGTACGCAAGCACTTGGGGTTTTTTTTGTCTAGTTCCCCTTCATTTTCCTGTAACTGCACACTGGATTCACAGAATTAGAGAATGGTAGAAATGCTGTTCAATGCAGATTATGATTCAGAAAAGGACTTGCTCCCTTGATTGAGACTATACATGGAGCACCCACTCCTAACTTTCTATATTCCAAATTATATGGTAATCAATAAAAGAGGAGCACCTGTCAGCTGAATTATATAATTGTGGACTGCTAATCCCTGCAGATAAAAGGTCTCCATCTTGCAATTCTTTCAGTGATTCAATGTTTTTTGGTGTTTTTTTCAAGATCCATGCTGATAACTTTATTTATATACATATTTTTCAAATGTAGTATCTAATACTACAGGATTCTTCACAACAAAAAGGAAAAAGAGAATTGGGTCAAACAATTTGTTTAAGAAATATAAGAGAAGGACTTACTATTATATAATAATGATAATTTTCTGTTCTGCTTGTTGATATCTTCGGAGATTTCTGACTCTAGACAGGAGGAAAAAACTAATAGTTTGAATATCAAACCTTTTCTCCACTTTGCACACTTCTACCAAGGGGTACTCAAATTTAGTCATAAAAATGACCTTAACATGAAATGAATGAGCCATCACTGATTATACCAAAGGTGCTTTTTCACGAGGCAACTGGACTTCGTTTTTCTTTGCAGACATTTTGCTTCTCATCCAAGAAGTTTCTTCAGCTCTGAAGAATTGAAGAAGCGTGTTGGATGAGAAACAAAATGTCTTCAAAGAAAAACTAGGAAGTTCAGTTGCCTTGTGAAAAAGCATCTTTGAGATAACTATGACCTGGATGATTGTGAATCTCCATAGACATCCATCTCTGATTACTCCACATTCTTCAACAATTTTTTCCAGCAGAAAGATAGGTTTCTACAGAACTAAGGTTTTGAGGAGCTTTCAAATGAGCAAGTAACAAAATAAACAGAATATGCCTGGGCTTTTTTTTTTTTTTTTTTTTTGAATGAGAAAAAGGATTTTTTTTTTTTTCCTTCAGCCTTCTACCTTAAAGATCTTTCATAACAGAGATCACAGCAGATGGGTTTTTGAACCATCTGTCTTTGGAAATGTGCATTCAGCACCATAGACAGTTTTGGGAAATAAAGAAAATATTTTACTTAAATGAAACAATTGGGACAAGATTGTGTAAGAAACTCTCATATTTTGGCTTCAATTTGTAATTCAGATCATTAAGGATTTGGTATGCTGAATAAACAGACAAGATTCATATGTAATTTTGAGGCAACTACAGGACTGACTAATTATTGGAGCGCAAATCATACAGCATCAGATTTACAAGTCATGTTTATTTTTCCCATTAGTAATCAGAATGAGAAAGCCACGATCTTGACTTTATGTACCAAGCTATGCAGTTTTGTGAGGGTTTATACTCTCTCAGAGACTGTGTCTTTTTCTTGTCTGGCAATAGCTTCTACAGTCTGTATTGAGCTTTATGCTTTAATAGCTGTCTGGATTAAAAATATTTGGCTGGAACCGCAAGGAATTTCTGTACTATATCCAGGAGATAACAGTCTTGCCTGAATCCTAGTCATTTATTTATTTATGGATAGATGGATGAATAAAGGAAATATTTAATCCTTTGTGTACAACAAATCTCAGGCTTATGTACATTTGATTGATAATATCATAAATAAAAATAAGAGACATAAAGGCTAATTAATTGGAACTAAACTGCAAACAAGTTTCAGTCATATCATTTTTTTTAAAATGAATCAACAGAAAAAATGTTGGCATTAAAAAAACAAAGCAACTTCTAATTCCATTATTTAATTTCTCATTACCAAATTGTTATAAAGATGGCCAAAATTAAAATAGCATTGAAATCATTAAAATATACAGTACTGGGGTACATGATACAAAATACACCATGAGAAGTTATACTTGGACTCCTTTGCTCTCCAATTAAGGAATAAGAATAATTAGTTACTCTTATAAGCAGTTTGTATGAAGGCGAAGATAAGGGATAGCTCAGTCTTTTGTCTTAACATATACCAACATATTTTAACATGAACTAATTATGCAATTACTATTATGTGAATACTGTTCCATAGCCACAATTTCCAGTATCAATTTCCAGAAGGAACAACTGTGTTAAATGGTTGCAGCAAAAGTAACATTTTGTGACATTTTGAATACTTACTAAAGCCAGAGACATAAATGTTTCAATAAAAGAGAATATTTGTAGCTCAGGATTGAAATAATGAAACATTGCAGATGTTTCATTACCCAAACTAGGTAACATCATCACAAAGCTCAGAGAGCAGTAAGGATCTGTCACATAAATGTCTATTGACATAATATATGCCAATAAATGTTTATTGATATAATATATGTGGTAGTTTTTAAGATGCTTCAAATAATTATCTAGAGCAGCGATTCTCAATCTTCGTGTGACGGCAACCCCGTCACACGGGCGCGCCGCGCATGTGCGGCGGCGCCCCATGCGCGGCGGCACCCCATGCGCAGCGTGCATGGGCGGTGGCGCTCCCATGCGCAGCATGCATGCACGGCGGCGCTCCCATGCACGGTGTGCATGCGCGGCGGCACCCCCATGCGGGCACACATGCGCGGCAGTGCCCCCTGGGGGGGAAATGGCGGATCGCATTGTTTCGAGACCCCCGCAAAATGGTCGATCGACCCCAAATGGGGTCGCGACCCATAGGTTGAGAACCGCTGATCTAGAGATACACTTCCCACATTAAATAAAGGTTTCTCAATTCAATAACTTCTTTTCTGTTGTTGCTATCTCTAGTCCCCAAAACGCAGCAGGATATGCAAAGTGGATAATGTATCCTAATGGAAAATTGCTTCTTTCTAATCAAACTTACCATTTCTGAGACTCTGGGAGAAAAGGCCTAGGAATAGCACAAAGGCAATGCCCATCGTGGTCCATAATAAAATATACTTCCTATTCTTGAACCAAACAATATGACGATCTATGAAAAAATCAATTGGAAAAGATGAGAATTACTAATAGAGAAAGTTGAGAAAAAGGAAAGATAGGGAAAAGGCAGCCATGGCCACTAAAAATTAGTCTGTTTTAAAGATTAGAGTGCTTATTCAGGTAAAATTACTTGGTTTCTTCAAAAGTTGACCATGAGTGACAGTTAACTTTAGTAACTATAAGCTATGCAGATTTTATACAATTTTATCTCACTTGGATTGAAATGCCATCTAGGTAGCCATCAAATTAGAAATGTTGCAAACAAAAAATATATTTCCCTTCCCCAATTGTACAGCTGTTTTTTAAAATATATAGATCTTAGCATTTAAAGATTGTACTCACAAAGATTACAAAATACAAATTTCCCATTCTGTGACTCTAAGAAACATAAAATTAAATAATACTCACTTCTGAAATAAAATGAAAATTGTTTTTTTGAGGAACAAAGACAGGTCTGACTATGGAAGTGGTACACTAATTTTTTTCTCCATCAATTGGCTCAGAATCAGTTACCAAAATATTGTATTTCCTATGACAATAGCATAAATGGCCTTCATCTTTTCAATCTTATTAATTATGTTAGAATTAGTTCCAGTAGAAGCTAAACAAAAAATAATTAACCTCTTTCTAGATATGTGTATCTTCTACCCTCCATACCTCTTCTTCTAGGTGTCTGAAGTTCTTCCTCCATTGTTAATCTTCTTGTCCTGAATGATTGGCAAGAAATTTCTACTTTCTTGTTTCCGAAAGAAATTATTGCATTGTTGCATAAGCCTTTTCTAGAAGTGTTCTTTTGAACGTAGATGAGTGCAAAAATTAATGACTCATCATCTAAGCATATTTACCATGTCCTGCTTTGTAAGGTGAAGTGTCAAAGTTGGTCATTTCACAGGACAGCCTTAAGTAGCCATTTTAGGCAGCTGGTTTTGGGTGCCATGAGAGGACAAATAAATATGACTTATTTATTTTCATAACAATGAAGCTTAATTTTGAAGGAAGAATAACGAAAGTCTTCTCTTGGAAAAAGACCTGGAACTTTCTGATGTAAAAGATGATATCTCTCTTTCCCTCTCCCTCTCTCTCTCCCTCCCTCTCCCTCTCCCTCCTTCTCCTTCTCTCTCCCTCTCCCTCCCTCTCTCTCCCTCTCTCTCTTTTTCTTCCTCTCTCTCCCTTTCTCCGTCTCTCTCCTTTTCTCTTTCTCTCTCTCTCTCTCTCCCTCTCCCTTTCCCTCTCCCTCCCTCTCCCTCTTTCTCCTTCTCTCTCCCTCTCTCCCTCTCCTTTTCTCTTTCTCTCCCCCCCCTCTCTCTCTGTCTCTCTCGGGATGACTGTAGCGAGATCTGCTACATGTGAAAAATTATTAAAAAACAGACAAAGTAGAAACCGCAGGAAGGCATCACACTAAAAATAAAGATATATATTGTCAAGTTGTGACATAGAGCTATAAAAGTTAGACCATTAGAAAAGCTGAAAATTGATGCCTTTGAATTATGCTGGAGAATATGGTTGAAAACACCTTGAACTGCAAGAACAAATTAATTTAATACTAGACGAAGCAAAACCCAATTGCTTGCTGGAAGCACTTGAAGCTAAAACTTCACTGGAGAAGACCTTCATGCTTGGAAAAAATTAAGGCAATTGAAAAAGAAGTCACCAAGGAACAAGATGATTCAGTATTATCACTGTTGGTACTAGTATGTGCTTACAAGTATTCAAGAAGCAATTATTTAAAAGACTGTAATCTAGGAAGGACTATTTTTCAATAGAAGAAAGATTAACAAACCTTGCAAACAGCAAACCTGTTAGAACTTTAAAAAAATTCTAATAGTGAAAATTGTTTGAAGAGTTGAATCAGAAAATATTAGCCACAATATCAACTATATCAGTAATGATAACTGTTTCTATAGATAGACTATGTCCAAATGATGTTATTGAAGAAATGATGTAGAACAATTTTTAACTGACAAGATAGAGATGACATTGGAAGTGGATTTATAACTAACAGGCCAAGAGAATGATTCTAAAAAAGGATGCTTTATTGAATATACAAAAGAAATTGGCTGAGGCTTTATAATTTTTTTTAAATGCAAATGACAAACCAAAGTGTGACCTGGATAATTTTTCCTACTGTGTTTACGGTACAAAAGTGGTTTGTTAAACTCTTGAAGAATTCTGTGTAATGGGATAAAGAAGAAGAGATGAAGAGAAATCATATCTTACAACAATATTTGAATGAACTAAAGTTTAAGATTGTTAGAAGCAAAGGGGAGAAATATAATGTTGATTTATTCATCAAGATTAAACAAGATACTTGGTTACCTCTGGCAACTCTTTACAGACTTTCTTCTGACATCAGGACTAAAAAGGTGATGTTTTGTGGTTTTGTTTATTGATACAGATGGGATATAGGATGAAGAGATAGATGTTTGTAATCTTAGAGGGGAATGAAGAATAACTAAATTTGTTTATACTTGTGATGAAGATTGGAAGTTATCTCTTTATGTATTTTTTTCTCTGTCCTTAATATATTCCTACTTTATTTTTCTTCTCTCTTTCTCTCTTAAATTTAAATAAATTTAATCCTTCATGGCTAATGAACTAATTATAAATAAGATTCAAGGAGTAGGAAATATTCTACTGGAGAAATTTAAAGTGTTGGTTTCAAGCATGATGTCTTACTAGCCTTGATCAACCTGTTGCCTGTTTCTTTCTTGAATTCTCTGTGTTTGACATTAGATTTTGTTTAGACTGTGATTCCACTGAGCACGTACAATTTTATTCTAACCTGAGCAGGAGTATGACGCTAGAGTCATATTACTACTACAGATCATATTTACTTGCCCTTCAAATTTGTCCAAGGCATTCCATTAGAAAAGGGAATGACAGTGACTGCAACGGTTTCCATCAGAATTTCTTGATGCAATGAATGCAAAAAATTAAATAACAATAAAACAAACAGTCCAGAGGACAACAAATGGGTACAGGTTCAATTTCATAACAATAATGTTTGTTTTTAGCAGAAGACTGGAGCACAGCTAAAGGATTAAGGAACTCTGCACCAATTGTTTTCTGCTACTTGCTTATGTATACCACTTCCTCTTTAGTATCACTGTATGGTGCTGAGGCAGGGACTGGAATCATCCTCATTATTATTATATTTCCCCAGAGAGGAAAATATATTTTCTGCCTCAAGTACAAAAGTAGCTTGGTCAGTCAGCAAAATTTCTTGAATTGGTTCTCATCAGCTAGAACAGTGGTTCTCAACCTTCCTAATGCCGTGACTCTTTAATACAGCTCCTCATGTTGTGGTGACCCCCAACCATACAATTATTTTCGTTGCTACTTCATAACTGTAATTTTGCTACTGTTATGAATTGTAATGTAAATATCTGATATGCAGGATGTATTTTCATTGTTACAAATTGAATATAATTAAAGCATAGTGATTAATCACAAAAACAATATGTAATTATATATTGTGAAATATTTATTTTTAATTACAAATAAATGAAATTTTGTCTTGAAGCATGGGTGCCAAATCACACCTTCAGCTGCTTCCACCTATGGCTCTGAAAGGAGACCTGACCTTTTCTCTTCTCCCCTTGCCCTACAACACACACACATACACAAACACATTTTCAGGGCTCCGGTGCCAACCCTGCCAGACCTGAGCAGAGGCCCTCAAGGAAACTTTCCCTTGCCTCCCTGGCTCACCATCCGGGAGAAGGTGGTTGTCGGATCCGGAGTGAAAAGGCAGCAGAAGGAGCCCTGCCACCAGCCCGAGCAACTCACCAGTTGGATGCTTGGCAACTGGTATGCATTTATGATGGTTGCAGCGTCCCAGGGTCATGTGATTGCCATTTACGACCTTCTCAGCCAATCTTCAGCAAGCAGAATCAATGGGGAAAGCCAGATTTGCTTAATGACATGATTCACTTATCAACTGCAGTGATTTACTTAATAACTATGGCAAAAAATTGAGCGCAACTCACTTAACAACCACCTTAGCAATGGAAATTTTGGTCCCAGTTATCATAAGTTGAGGACTACATAAACACGTATGCATACAGTCAGTCTGTCTCTCTCTGGCTATTTTTATGTAAAGCAAGTTTATTTCACTAACAGGAAACATTACATTGTATTCCTAGTGATTATGTGGAGAAATGCTTGCCATTCCGAGCCTTAAAACATTTAAAGATGCTCCGGTTCCTTTGGAAACACTGTTTTTGGCTGAAGACCCCTAACCTCAGGTGTAATGTATTACAACCGAATGATAGGTAGGAGAGAAGCAAAGGAACAGTGGGATCAGAGACAAAAACAAATCTTTTTTGGATTGTGGACTAGGATTTAGAAATTAGGATGAAAGTTTCCTATTTCCCATCCTCATGTTAGCAAAACTAGGGCATACAGTATATATATCTTTCAAGAGTATTTCAGGTTGCAGTGAGCAAGTGTAGGAATGACTTTAATTTCTCTTGTGCATCAGTTCACCTTTAATAGATATTCCTGTGGTGGCTTAGCTGTTGGTATCCATCCTTAGTCCTAGAGAAATTAAGAAAATTAAGGAATTCTCTTAATCCTGGAATTCCCATTAAATTCTTCATGTGTCTTCTCAAAAGTGAGTCTCAAGTCATGTTTAGCAGAGACAATACAACTCTTTTTCCATAATTTAGCTCAATCATGTCCATAGGGCAAAACTTGCAGATTATAGAAGAGTGTTATCACTCCGCACCTTGTCTGGCTAGAAAACAAGAGCACTTTCTGGAGTTGAACAAGCAAAAAAATAAGCCAGCTGCAGCAGGAAAGCTTACCCACATAGCCTCAAATTAAGGAAACTGAGTTGGAGAGGGGAACGATTCGGCTTCAGAGCCTTTTGCCGAGCCTTGCTTCAGAAAGCATGTGGAAGTCGCAATCGAGAACACAATGCTGCCTCCTGGAAGCACAAACCATTTTGCAGAGCTCGATGGCCCAGGAGTTGGCAAGCACGCGCGTGCGCTCTCTCTCTCTCTCTCTCTCTCTCTCTCTCTCTCTCTCTCTCTCTCTCTCTCTCTCTCTCTCTCTCTCTCGCATATATACACACCGGCAGGAGAAGAGGGGGGTCGGTGGAGAAGATTCCCTTACCCCGCACAGCCGGCTTGCTACCAATCGCCCCCTTTCTAGTTATTTTTGCTCATTTGGGAGAGCCCAGTCCTTCCTACGAAAGCAAGCAAGCGAGCAAGTGAACGCAACGGACAACTCTTCATTGCCTTCCTCAAGGGCCTAAATTTTAGTGTCTCAGTTCCTAAGACCATCGGAAATATGTGTTTTCCGATGGTCTTAGGCGACCCCTGTGAAAGGGTCATTCGACCCCCAAAGGGGTCGCGACCCACAGGTTGAGAACCGCTGAGCTAGAAGATTCTATGCTTATTACACAAGAAAGATTCTGCAGAGTCATTAGTATATTAATAGATACACCAAAGGGATATGAAAAAGGGAGATCCTTATAGCTACCAAAGAGAGAACACAAACAATTGTTTAATATATTTTGGCTGACTTGGTTTAGTAAAGGAGTCTCATCTCAGTGGAATGTTTCAATATCCTATGATTTGACATTTGATTACTCTTGAAATAAAGTTTGGATTCTATGCCATGCTCTGAGCAAAGCAATCAGTAAAAGAAGAGACTTTCAAACTGCTTTCCTTAAGCTGGTGCCATCCAGATGTATTAAGTCCCATAAGTCCTAGCCAACTTGCAAGTTGACACTATGAAATTTGAGGAAGCGTTTCT